TGGCTGGCTGGGGAATTCTGGGAGTGGAAGTCCACTCATCTTAAAATGGCCAAGTTTGGACAACCCTGGTCTAAAGAGATTGCGTATTTGTTTGTTTTTTTGTCCCCCCCCCCTCTTTCCGTTGATGTATGTTACACATTGCATATTACATCAGCTACATTGGCTAGCTGTTCACTTCTTATCCCAGTTCAGAGTGCATATGATAACTTTAAAAACCCCAAATGTTTTATCAAGTGTTTTTGATATAGACTGTAAGAGTGATTTTTTAAAAAATACAGTTTTATATATATATTTCCATCAGTTATTCAAATAGTTACCTTACAGGGAGAAAAATATTTGGAAAATTTAACATGTTCTCTCACTGTCTGTTGACAGAAAATTATTTTCCCTTTGTATGTTTATATACAAAATAGACATACATACATACATACATATAGAAACGCACACAGGTACACAAAACAACAAAGTATGCACTTTGTACATTAATGTGCTCCTAGTTGTATACTAACAAATCTGAACGATCGGTAATGATTAAATGTGCAATAAAATTCTTACAAACATACAACTAACTGCAGAATATTTCCATTAATGAATAACGTTAATGCACTTGTGTGCATGATAACGTGTAAAGCAAGCAAAATAAAACAAATATCCAGGTGTATAAATATAAAGTATAAAGCCTGCTTGGGACATTGTTTGTTTATTTTTCAAACATGATTCTCATGGACAAATGGAAAGCTATGGGAATAGCTTATAACTTATATGCAACACATTACAAATTGTAGAAATGTAAACAAGAAGAATCATGCAGTTTAATGATCTCATTGGCTATATCTGTAAACCACAGTACCTTTGAGTTCAAGACTTTCTGTGTTTAGTCTCACATGGATTTGGGACAACTAAGTGATCTGGATAATAATGTCCTTCTCTTCCAATTAGCAAACTTCATTATACTAAAGCAGAATTTTTGATATGGACACACATGAATAGTTGCTTTCTTGTCTTCATATGCCAAATTTTAAGTAAAATTATGTCTTTTAATCTGGGTATCACTGATTACTGAAGTATGAGGTTTTGTCTGTCCAAATGATGAGTAATGCTAGTGAAGTTTAAACTGAGAATAACATACTTAGATTCTTAGGACATGATATATACTAAACAATGAAGTTAGAATAGTTTATGTGTAAAATATAGTTTGTGTTATTGCTAAGGAATATTAAAGTTTTGATTCTTATATTTCAGAATTTTTTTTGTGCCCTATCATTTTTAATTAATGGAGTTTTAGAACCCACAAGCTTGTTAAAGTACATTTCATTCTGTTTCTAGATCTGTTAGCTGTGCCTAAGCATCCTTATGCTGCTATGGAAAACTGGGGCTTAAGTGTTTTTGTGGAACAGAGACTACTCCTGGATTCAAGCATTTCTTCCATATCATATTTACTGGATGTCACCATGGTCATTGTGCATGAGCTATGCCATCAGGTAGGAGATAAACAATATCTTGTGAGCATGCAACATAAAACTATTTTAACTATGGTAAAAGCTCAAAACTGAGCACATTATTGGGGACATTTCTATCTGATAAGTAAAGGTATAATTTTTTAGTTATAACTGTGAGAAGTCCCCCATCTTTAGTGAAATGGGTATCAAACATTATTACCAAACTTCTTTCCATTTAGAGTAATTATAATGGACTTTTATTTTTGAATAGCTGAGTGTAGTGATAGTCACTGGAAATGTATTATTAAAGCACTATTGCAATCTCAGGCTAAGTTTCATGTTCTTCTCAAATTTGCTTTGGCTGAAATCAGTTTGATAGTCCCTCTTCTCCTAGTGTATAAACTTGAACGAGTTTTGTTCTATCTTTTTCTGCCATTTTCTTCTGTTCATAAATGAGGAATGTCTTGCTTCTTTGCATATTAAGAATCCTAACTACCTTAGGACACATTGCAGCAAACCATTTACATTTATTTTACATGGTTTTTCCTTTATCTTCTAGCTAACTTCTAAACATAATTTAATTTTTAATAATATGATCTGGAAATATTATAAACAGTACACTATATATTTTAACAATACACTATATTTTAAATAAATAAACTTTATCACATAAGGTCACCTTTGTGACATTACAAAGGACTGTTTTGTAAATGAAATACATTTTAAAACTTCCCCAAGATTTTTCATGTGAACATAAGAGTGACAAATAAAGCTGAGCACTTTTAAATCTTGTTTATTTTTTGATATAAATTTAAAGGCGTATTTAACTCTCTTACTGAAATCACTGGTAGTTAAGAACTCTTAACTTATCTTAGATTGAATGAGAGCTCATATATAAGCTCACACATAAACAATTTGTTTCATACGAATTCCTTAAACCAGATATACAAAATAAGAGAAGCATTTTTTCCTTTTTAATAGAGTTAATAGGGTCATATTTTAAAGGGTTTGGATTGTATAGAGATACAAACTGATATTCCAATATCTCTGATTAGTTATTGCCAGCTCTTTTCCAAATAATTCTCTGGAGAGCTTCCAAAAACCTGAAACTCCTAACACTGATCTCAGATACTGGGGCTGGCCTTTGTCTCCCAAGCTAACCAACTAATCCTTCAGATTTGCACCAGGGAAATGTCTAAAGCTGATCATTGGTCATAATGGTGAAATCTATCTCAATCTAAATTTATTTTTGTAAAATGCTAAAGAATGCTTACTGATTGACTGACTTATTAATATCCTCTTACAAAGTGATTGACTGACTTATTAATATCCTCTTACAAAGTGTTAGACTTGCTATTGTTGTGATTTAGAAGTTTAGTGTCCTGCTTCCTGAAATCTAGCGCTTAGTGATGGTTAGTGATCAACTCTCTATGTTATTGTCACTGTGAATTATGTCTGAGATCTCTCATCTTTAGTTACCAGGTACACTGCTATGTTTTAAGTACAGTATTACTTAACAAGAAATGGTGTGTATTTTTAGAATTGCAAAACAACCAAGAGAAAACCCTTAAATAGATGTAATCAATAAAATTTTTCTCACCTCTGATTAACTGTAATATGAAGATTATGATCATATGTGTATTAGCTATTTTTTTCCAAAGATTTATAGCAATTTATGAATAACTGTCTTCAATCTTACAGCTTTCAGTAAAAGAGTTTAATTTCTATAGACACACATCAAATACTTTCTGCAGATATGGGCGACATTTAAGTAGAACTATAGGGCTCTTAATTTATTGCACAAGGCTACCTTGTGGAATAGAATAGTTTTAGTAGCCTGTCATGCTTTTAGTTATGTTAAGACCAAATGCATATAAAAATATTAGCACTGATGGGGACCATTTAGGTAACTGAGACCAATGTTTCATTTTGTGTCCCAGTTAAAGCATCCCTGACAGATAATTGTCATCCTCAGTCTGACTACATCCAGTGAAGGGGAAATCATAAATAACAATAATACATCAAACTGCTCTTGCTATTAGGAATTCTTTTCTAGCATTCATCTGGAACATGTCTTCCTGTAATATAATACTGTTATTCCATGTCTTGCAGTCTGGAATGATAAATAATGTCTGCCTTTTTTGTGGTACCCCTTCAGATATTTCAAGAGTGCTATCATATCCCTCCTACTGTTCCCTTCTCAAGAACCCAGTACATACCTTCAGTTCCTTTTTGCTCTCCTATAGGACTTACATTCCAGTCCTTTGATTATTCACATTGTACTTCTTTAGCCTATTCTAGTTCATCTCAATCCTTCTTACATGGTGGTCCAGAACTGGACACAAATGTTCTAGCTGAGGTCGGATAAAAGTGGCAATGGCAGTCTCTCTGACCAGAATTCAACAATATTTTATAGACTGAGTGTAATATAGTGTAGTGTAAACTATTAAACTTCTTTCTTAATCTAGGACTTGGCTAGTTAAAAATCTTCATTACAAACAAGAATAAAGACAAACTAAACAGTCGGTTATCCACTAGTGGCCATTGTAAGGGTGAAGCCCCCTTATGCCCATAATGGTTCAAAACTCTAGCTTTTTCTTCCCACTCTTCCAGTAGTTAAAAGGCCCTTTGTGTGGTGCTTGATCTTGAAGTTGAGTGGTTACTAAACTACAATCTCTGGCCTATGAATCATTGGCTTTCAGTTTACTTCTCACACCTAGAGTGGATTAATTACTTCTTGTTATTTAGAAACTGTTCAGTTGTTGTAATCTAAACATGTGTTTACTTTTTCTTGTAGCTGTCGTGTACTGTTGACCCATATTTAGCTAGTATTTAACTATAGTTTCAAGATCCTTTTCATAAGGACTAGTGGCAAGAGAGGAATTTCCATTTTATACATGTGATTGTTATTATTTTTGTCTTTCTAGAATACGGTATTAGCTATCTTCTATAATAGTATTATCTAAAAAATAAGATACGGTTAGCCTGATAAGAATTGTTCTCAAAAATCCATGTGGACTTAATTTAGGATAAGTAATTATTCTTTGACCTTATCTCTATCAATATCAAACTTCCCTTTCAGGTTGCCCTTTACAATTATATGATGAAACACATAGCATCTTGTTGGATAAAAACTGACCATTATAGTTGAGTAATTCCACCTTTGTTACCTATTATCTTTTGTCACCTTTGCTGAATAGCTGCTATATTATTTCTTTTCTTTTTTATTCTGAACATAGCTGAAGAAGCCATTTTTGTTTTTAGCATCTTTTACCAGCCTCTTATTTTTATTTTGAGCTTTAAACTTCCTGACACCATCTTTACAATTTGGGGCTATCTTTCTTAAAGTTGAAGTTATGACTGCCTTTGGCTGTATGTTCCTTAAAACCAAAACATGGTCATACATCACATGGTCTCTTCTCAATATTTCCATTATTTCAATATCACTTATTAAATTTTCCCTACTGGTTAGTATCAGCTTAAGGATAACAATCCCCTTGTACTTCTTCCATCATCTTCTGAAGGAGAAAGTCAGCAAGACAAATGAACAGCTTTCTGGAGAAACAGGATCACCACATTAATTTACTTGGATTTTTGAAAATATCCCATCCCATTGCTAAGGGGTCACTCTCATGCAAATACACAGAGAGTTGCATTTTAAAGTTATGCTTAAATCCATTAGGTAATAACTAGATCTTTTCATTAGCCAAGGATTTAAGCTACTTCCACTTGTCTAACTAAGGGCTCTTTGTAACTTGGTATCATACATATTCCTACTTAGTATATTAAATATAACTCAGTAAAAGCGCTTCTTTATTATTTTGTAGCTATCATTTTCAATCAATAAAGATTCCCCTTTTTTCCCTACATTTTAACTTTTTCTATTAATACTTATTGTTTTAGGCCAATAGCAACCAGAATATATTAATCTAATTTCTGATATTCTGACACACAAAATCTTACCCAGTGATTTCTTCATCAGAAATAGACCTTTTAGCAAATCATTATACACACATATGTGCAAACATATGAGATTTTTGGTAGTAGAAAGCATTTCTAAAATAAGTATGTATCAAAGACAGTTCTTAATATATTATGTTTTGTTTATATATTAATATGCAATTTTATTTGAATAATTCCAAATGTATTTAAGTCTTTATAAAAGTGGTACCTAGGAAAACATAAGATAATGTCGTGATTGTTTTCTCTGGAGTTTCTTATTTGTTTTTTTATTGACTGTGCATTTAGTTCATACTTATATTTAAAATGAAGCATCAATAGTTTATTTGGTTCAGTTGCAAAATAGGTTAAAAACCAGTTTGATTAATCATGCTTTAATTTATTAATTGCTTGTGCAAATATATTTCCATAAGAATTAAACTGTGTTTCTAAGGAAAACACCATCATTTGCACATCTGCAGTAAAGATATTTGCCCTTCAGAATGAGTGCACAACTGCTTTTACTCAGAATGGATTCACTGGCATAGGATGGAATCACTTAGCCCTCTTATACTGAGAGATTTATTCTGTCAGTGGAACCAAGGAAAGGTCAGTGGCTCCCCTTTTACAGCCCTTGTGAATCTTCAGATTATGCTCCAGAGAACTGGGAAACCATTCGCAATGATCAAACCTGTATAAGTAGTTTAATTTGTTTATTTTATTTAAATGATTTATATGACTGCCGATCTCACAACAGTGATTCTGGGCTGTGTACAAGAATTAAAAAAAAAATGATAGCCAAACCCATGATGCTTGAGGTAAGCAACACATCCCAATCATTAAAAAAAAAAAAAAAACAGCGGCAAAGCTTGCCTAACCTCCTGGCCTAAATGCCTGGGGAAACAGAGGTCTTCAGAATCTTGTGAAAGGCCTAAGAGGGTCAGGGCCATCCAGATCTCCAGGAGGAGGATGCTCCCCAGGGTAGGAATGTACAGCTGTTTTAGGATTACTGGAAAAAATCCATATGATCAGTAGATGGCATAAAAGAGCTCTCTCAAGCCCAAAAGCCACCAAATCCATAACTATTTAGAAAGAATAGCATGGATGTTATTGCAATCACAATGAAATTTATATTTGAATAATTATTTGATAATAGATTGAATCCTGTCTCAGTTAAGGTAGATCCCATGATATCAGTGAACAAGTTAGTCATGATTAATTATCTCAGGGGGACGCGGTGGCGCAGCGGCTTAATGACGCTGAAAGTTGCCGGCCAGAAATGGT